ATTCCACCTATAAATTCTACTCCAGTAGCTCTTCCACCATCGTTGCCACTGCCAGTTTCCACGCAACAGGTGTGAAATTTTTCTTTCTTTTTGGATTAGATGACAGTATGATATTAGGAAATCTTCAATCTGAGTGATGTTTAACCATTGTATGGTTTGTTTCTACGGTCTCAGGACTCAACTATGCAGTTCACTGAAGAATTTGATTTTGAAGCCATGAATGAAAAGTTCATAATAGATGAAGTTTGGGTTACTTCGGTAATGCAAAACAAAGGGATAAGACTGAGGGTTTAGAAGATAATGCACCTAAGCAAGTTGTGGGGGACGAAGAGGATTATGGGCTATCATCCAATTTTGATCCTAAGGTACATCACTGAATGATTAATACATTGTCAGATGGATTTTTCTATTTTATGTCCTCTTCTCTAAAAATGCTTCAGAAGTTTAGCTTGAATGTGGATGTCTGTTGCTCTGCAGCCTGCGTATTAGAAGGATGATTTCTTTGATACAATTTCCTGTAATTCACTCACCCGCAGAGCAAGGAATGTACAGAAAGGGAGGATTTCAGAGGCTCTTATCACTGGGGCAGGGTATATGGCTATGGTGGAAGGGCCGGGGCCGCCTAGGAAACATCCATTTTTAAAGCTATATGGATCATCAATAATTCAATATCCTATGAAATGCAAGGCAAGTGGCAACTAGTGTCCATCAAATTTCCATCTTTATCTCCACTTATTCCTATATATGGAACCTTTGAAATTATGTGGATATTATTATCTCAAGGTAAATGAATGGATTGTTAGTCATGGATTTTTATCATAGATGTTTTGTAGGAATCATTGGACTGATTAACTATGGCAGATTCGTCATTCATGTTTGTATTGCCCGTGAGCTGGCCTTTCACGTTTACTATTCTGAAAGAAACATTTTCAACTTCACAAAAAGTACTAGCTTAATTGCTCGTATGCCTTTGCGAGAATGGGGACGTTTGAAATCTGAATAAATACCCCCACCAATGTTGGTAGTTTCCCTTTTTGTTTCTTCTTCTTCTTCTACCTTCTATCCCTACCTTTGTGTAGTGGATTTAGGCTATTTCTCTCTGCATCTGTACTCTGCAATGCTTGAACACCAAGTTTTACCCATCTACAAATAAAAAGGCCGTCCAATACTCCAATTCCATGAACTAGTACTTACATCCTTACACACATTACAACCTAACAATTTAGAGGTGAAAAGCAAACTAAGAATAGATCTAATAGACTCATGATGTGGGTGTCTGTTCTATACAAAGACATTCCTAACTACAACCCATTTATCAATACCACTAAAGTATGTATTAACACAATATAAAGCAAAAGGGTGGACGCTCCTTTTGAAAGCCATAACTCATTCTACAAGAGAGGAAAGCAACCAAATAAGTACTACTGAAGAAACATTATTTTTTTCAGTAGCAAACTGATACTATCGACACAAATCTCACTGCTAGTTGGGACTTGGGAGGCTGGCTACGGAAAAGCACCTGAACATGGGGCCTCTTTGTGGATATTGCCCGGGCTATGATTTGTTGCCGAAAAGCATGTAACTCGATCATCTTGTAACTATTTATGGTAAACCAATCGAAAGTTCTTGTTGGCTTTAATTCTCATCGAAGAGGCTGTAGGCATAGCCGGTGGACAAAGCATCAGGGGTTCACGAGATGCTGCTATTAGCTGAAAATGTTGTTGTAGAAGTAGAATCATAAACAAAGAAATAAGAAATACTCTGTGTGCCACGAATCGGCTGGAACGGAAGGAGATAATGAACTGTAGGGAGAAACAAGATAGAGCTTTTGTAAATATAGCTAGTGGCTCTTATTGAAGAGTTGGTCATGATGACTTGCAATTATTAAAAACAAAGTGTATCGTCCCTTAGAAACTTATCTAGACATAGTGACAAATTACAGTATAATGAAGTATGCATATGCACTCGATTAAGAGATGCCTTAAAATCAAGTTGAAATATTGAGATGGGTGAGGAGGGAGTTGAAAGACGGAGGGTTGATCTTTTGACATTAATTTTATTTTGTACATGTACAAGAACATCTTTTACAATTACAGGATAGGACTTAAAACAAGTTTAGTGGCCAGTGAGTCATCCTTCACTTGTAGTGCCTCTTCCCAACATCCAGTTGCAAAAGAATATGATGAATTTTGCTTCTCTTGTCTCTTCTTCTTTTCGTTTCTTTGATGTTTGTTGTTGTGTTGGTGGAAACCCTACCCCATCTTGTTAGTTGGAAGACACCATCAAAATTCACATTTCTATCACATTCTATCAGGCATTTTGGGCATGCACTTTCTGGTCTCCATCTCCCTGGTCCTTCTGTGTTGCTGTTGCAACCGCCCCAAT